CTTTAGCATCTTGGGAAGTTAGACTGTAACAAGCCTTAGGTTTTAATAATTTTCCATTAGACCGAGGCTTCAACTCCAACTCTTTTCTATCACACAAAATTTCCATGTCCCTTTGTCGCTACTGCGGAAAAAAAAGGCCGGAAATGACTAATAGAGTCGCCACCTATCGTTATTTATCCTAGAGAAGGGAAAGGAAACGATCGGAAAAAACCTGACGAAAATGGGAAAAGACGAGGTCATCGCAACCAAGTCCTAGGTTCGGGAGTCGGTTACGTAAGAGGAAGGTATGAGCACCCCTCACGTCCGTCGTACTCGACGGGATCCACGCATGTGTTGTCTAACTAAAAGGGTGTGTAAACTATCTACGCTAAAGGCTTATGGACAAAGAAAAAAAAAAAGAGAACTGACTCGGCAGAACACAGCAGTTCTATGCCTACGTATTCCCGTCTGGAACGAGAAATCAGAGTCAACGTAGTTCGCCTAACTACGGCTAAAGAAGGGGGGAATGTTGCTCGCTAAGACATCACATCTTATGCCTACGTACTTTCATCTGATATGAAAGATCAGAGCAAACGTAGTTCGGGTTTACAAGAACACAGGCTGTTCAAAAGTTTTACCCGAGTATGGTTAACAGACAGTTCTAGCAGTTGGTGTATGCAGCTCGACCTTTGGAGACTTAGGCGTTACCGTTTGCGATAGGACTGAAAGTTAACAACACTCTTGTTTATGAAAATTTTTTTCCTGATTAAGACCCCAAGGGGTGAAAAAGAGTTTGAATTGTTTTTGTGTTTTTTAAGGAAGAAGTGTTTTAAATTTGGTTTGCGACTCATGCTACACTAGAGACTATGATATAGGAGCGAATGCTTCGTATATCGTCCGAAGGACATACACTAACACTCTAGATAATTGAGAGGCAACCACCCAATCATCATTTCCCAAATGGCTTAAGGCTTGTAGCGTGCAACAATGGTCAAGCTTTATTAAGTGGATTGAAGTTGTTTGAAGATGAGAAGAGAAAGAGGACGAACTAAGGGGGACTAGTCCAAACCCTAAAAGTTGTCATGCAATGTGCACCTAAAGTTGAGTTTGAAAGGGGACTACCTAATTTTATCATGCATGGTTAGAAACCTAATGTCTATCATAACCTCTCTTGAATAAGAGAGGTTAGAAATCCTAAGGGAAGGAAGACAAAAGAAGAAGAAACAATAATAAGAAACAATGCAAATGTAAAATGCAAACACAAATGCAACAAGGAAGACAAAGATGCAATGCAAGTGAGGGAGGAAATATGTGTGGGGCTGGAATCTCCACAAGCTCATCTCAACCTCAAGCCATGGTATGAATAAGCACAAGAGAAAAGGAGAAGAAGATGCATAGAAAACAAGTAACAAAAACAATGAGAAAAAGTCCTCATGGACTTATTACTTTAGGCAAGCTTCAGGTTCCTCCTCAGGAGGAACCAAGCAACCTTAAGTAGTATTCCAAGGTCATTGAACAGAATGGGGATGATAAGAAGAGATCTCAAAAGCCAAATCACAACATCATAAGCAAATGCCAACAATAACATCAAAGAATGCAAGCAAACATCACTTATGGAAACACAATATGCAAACATGAAAGTATGAGATCAAATGAGCAACTTATACACATGTTAAAGACCCATGAATTAGCACACAAGACCTATAACAATTCCCTAACATGTAACAATCAGAATTAGATTCATCAATAATGCACAACTAAGCTTTTGGAAGCAAAACAAAACAAGTGCAACAGCAAAGATGCACAAACATGAAGCAACTTTCAAAATACATGAAAAATAAGAAAATGCATCTAAAAATGCCAAATAAAATCTCAGAGGACCCCCAAGGTATCATGAACCAGGGGTCAAAAGGAGAGATTGAAAAACAAAAGGGAAGTGCCTCAACAGAAGGCAGACATCAAGAGTGTTCCAAAACAAGGCAGAAATGGAGAGGGAACAAAAACAAATTCAAAACACATGGAAACAACACTTAAAAATCATGGAAAAAATATCCAAGGATCAATAATCATGTTAACACTATGCTCAAAAAATTTCATGCAAAAATGAGGAATTTAAACATAGAAATAAAATCAAGAAAGAACAAAACCACAATTTAAATCAAATAAAACAACTCCAATATTTAATTCATTTTTTAATTGAAAATAAAGTCAAAAAATAAAATAAAAATTTCCAGAAAAAAAATAGACATCTCAAAGTTTATGAAAATTATTTTTGGTGAATTTTTAGACTATTAGAGCTATTTTATTTGAATTAAAATGAAAACTGCACAAAACAGAAAAATAAAATAAAATAACAATTAAATACAAAAGATGTGGTATGAATAGCAATTGAATCAAGGCAAAACAGTGGACTGGGCCTCCTAGGGGGTGCCAATAGCACACAGGTATAAGGCCCACATGAAATTCAGAAAAAGAAACAAACTATTCTTGTGATCACACGCATCTAGTCAATCCTGGAGTACCATAGAACCTCACTCCCATGCGCATGATGGATTAGTATGTAGATCAAGTGGTTTATGTGAGGACAACACATTAATGAAATATGAAAGAAATCACATGCAAACAGGACCAAACAGAACACGGTAGGGTGTAATCACGGACGTCCAAGCATGCAAGGACCTCGATCGGACGGCCAGACGGTCGTCTTCCTCAAGTGTAACGCGCGGCCGCCGGAGCTTTGCTCCGGTCATCTCTCTCGTCACCTCTGACCACCGCGGGGAGAACAACAACATAGCCCCTTCGATTTTTCACCGTTTTCAACAATCTTTAGATGAAAATTCATCCACTCTCCGAGGGGAACAAAAATCTAGCCTTAGTTTGCATTGAAACCTCACCATTAAAGAGAAAAACGAACAACAAGCTTGGTGCATAAAAGCAAAAGTTCATCAAAACTCAAATAACTTCATCCTAACATCATCCTCATGTTATGTAGGTTATAGATCCATGAAAATTGAAGCAAAAACATGCAAAAATAGTTCATACAAAATCAACCAAGTTTGAAGCTCCATTTTTCAAATGTCATGAACATCAACAATTAATATTCAGAAATGATCTACATGCTTCAAGGATCCAAATGCAACAAAAATGGTGAAGAATCATGGTATATTGAGAGTGTAAGGTTGAATTCAAGTTACCTAGTGGAGAACTTCCACTGAGCCTTCAATAGGTGCTAAAGCTTGAAGAAAACGATCCAAACACGTTCAATGATCCATAATAAAGCTTTTGCAACCTTCAATTTGCCTTGAAATGGAGTAAATCTGAGAATTCGAATTTTGAGTTTTCACCACTTTTTGAAAACGAAAATGGTTGTTCATGCAGCAACAATGACCTAGCTCTGCCTCAAAATTCATCTGGAATACTTATATGATGGATTTGTGATCAAATGGGGCCTTAATTCATGTAAAACAACCCACTTTGAATTTTCACATTTCAACACTTTTTGAAAATGCCATGCACGTTTTTACCACTACACCACTTGATTTTTTGATCCAAATCCACTACAAATCAGTTGTGTAAATTAAAGGAATGAGATTGGAGGTTTAATTTTGATCCTATGGTTGATTTCCACTTTGCTACTTCAAGAGGAAGAAACCATGAAAATGGCCCATTTTGAGACTTCAAAATTCCAATGTGAATATGGCAATGTCTTTGAATTGTTATTTGCAATAAAAAAATGCACAAACTTGCCTTGAAAAAGTTTAAAATCCATTAATTCTCAAATTCTCAATTTAAGCCCCCACCATGACAAGAGATGGTTTGGTAGTGCAAATGGCCACATTTGAAGCAAGTTTCATGTTGAAAAGATTTCCATTTGAAGTGTGCAAGTTGGTGAAATGGACCTATAATTTTATGACCTGTAATCTTACTTTCCCAAAATACCCCTGACTTGTAAACCTCATAACTTGAGTTCTACAAATCAGATGAAAGAATTCTAATACAATCTGGAAAGCTAAGATCAAGACCTACAACTTTCATACTAACCAAAATGTTGAGAAGAAACACCCTTCTAGGTCAAAACTGGCTTGGAAGTTGGTTGACTTTTGTTGACCAAAATCACATACCTCAAATGACCTGTAACTTGTCCGGATCATAACTTGAGTTCTATAAATCCAATTGAGGACTTCTAGTATTCAAAGTAAATCTAATAACATGCTCTACAAGTTCCATGTTGGCCAAAAATTGAGATGATACTTTTATCTTGAGATAGGTGGTCTTGAAGTCAGACACTAAATAGGGGATTTTACCCTGAGAACCCTAACTTAGTAACTTCTCACACACTTAACCCTTGATGAATTGAACTTGAAATGATGTCTCATATGTCTTAACACAATATCCCATGACCATAGAGACTTTAAATTGAGTTTCTATCTTCTTCAATTGCACAGTTGACTGAGGATTTACTAGATGAAAACCCTAAATGCAATATTTTCAACTGTGCCTTGTTCCACTTCACACAACCACTTGCATAAGCTCCACAAAGACCCTCAAGGACCTCAATAAGCTTTCTTTACATCTCATACCCAAAATCATGCATTCACGAACCTCTGATGCTCTTCAGTTGGCCTCCCAGCTAGGAGCTGTCCCACACACATCCATCTGTCTTTTCACAATACATTGACCACTTCAAGATGTCCTGATGACCACTCAAACTTGAGTAACCACCCTTGCTTAGGATCAAACCCTTGAGAAGAATCCTCTTGAGGTGCACAAACTCTGATCCCCTGTTCAATGCACCATGCTATGCAATGCAAATGCTAGAACAAAAATGAAATGAAACATAAACCAAGTTAAGAAAAGGTTGAGCAAATTTTGGGGTGCAACACCCTTCTAGACTTCTCATTATCTTTTGTTTTGCCTTGAACATCCATAACTGTGTTAAATATATTATCAAAGAAATTCTTTTCAATATACAAAACATCAAGATTATGTCGCAATAAATTATCTTTCCAATATGGGAGGTCCTAAAATATACTTCTTTTTGTCCAATTGTGTTTGACCCCATATCCTTGAATTCTGCATGCTTCACCATAATCTGTAAATTTTGGCAGTTTAGAAACTCGATTCCATATTTCCTCTGGTGACAATCGCGGAGGAGGCAAATCTTTTACTCGTACATCTTTTTTGAAATCAGTCTTGTTTCTTCTAAAGACATGGTCTAATGGTAGGAATCTGCGGTGACAGTCGAACCACAAACTTTTCCCTCCAAATTCTAAAGTAAAAGCCGTTGTAAATTCCATGCAATGTGGACATCGCATTTTTCCATGCGTACCCCAACCAGATAACATTCCATAAGCGGGAAAGTCATTAATAGTCCACATCAAGGCATCTCGTAAAGTAAATTTTTGTTTGCGAGATATATCATATGTCCATTCTCCAGTCCACAACCTCTTCAAATCATCTATTAAAGATTGTAAATAAACATCGATTCCAAATTTAGGACTTGATGGTCCTAGAATGAGGCAAGTCAAAAACATGTATGGTTTTGTCATGCACATCTCTGGAGGGAGGTTGTAAGGGGTTACGATAACTGACCAACAAGATTATGCAATTGCAGATGCTTGGACGTATGGAGTAAAACCACCAGAGCATAGTCCGAGCCTGACATTTCTAGGTTCTACAACAAAATCAGAATATACCCTATCAAAATGTTTCCATGCCTCACCATCAGATGGATGCCGCATAATGCCTGAACTTGTTTTGTTTGTATGATGCCATGTCATTTGACTTGCCCTGTGCATTGAAGCAAATAATGTAAGTTAAGAGTATGCCTAAGAGGGTGGGGGGGGGGGGGGGTAAATTAGGCTTAAGAAATTTTTTCCGGTTTTTTGAAACTCTTGAATTTTTCTTCTTTAAGTTCTTGGTGATGAAAGCAGTAAAGACAAAAATAAAAATGAACACGGAGATTTATAGTGGTTCCCTTCACAATCTGAAGGTACTCCACTCCCCTTTCCACATGAAAGAGAGTTTTTACTATAGTTTTAGAAAGTACAACCTATCACACTATCAACCGGCGAGGCCTACAATCTAACAACTAATCAACAATTAGTGTGCAAGAACAATCCTCTTGCAAACACTACCCCTTGTGTCCAACAATCCTGGATCACAAGTCACAATAGAAATAACTTTGTATTTTTGTAATTTTGAAAGTGATACAATGATAACATCAATCTAATGATTGATCATCTCCTTTTGATCAAAATCCACTCTTCAATATCAACACAAGTGTTCAAAATTCAGGATATGAAATGTATGAACAATATGAACACTTTTTGAAAATATTTGAAAATATTTGAAAAGTAGTAAATTTGATTCAATGAATATTTTGGAAAATTATTGGAGGTGTTTTTCAATTTGAAAATTTAAGAATTTATATGAGTAAAACACCATTTCAAAAAGGTATAATTGAGTAAGAATCAAAACATGAAAATGTGTAATATTCAAACAACATTTGAATTTTAACAGCAACAATTTTTCAAAATTCGTTCAGTGTTAACCGGTTAATCCTATAGGTTAATCGGTTAACATTTGAACGTTGGCCCAGAGAATTCAAAAATTAAGGTCGTTAACCGATTAACCCATATGATTAATCGGTTAACACTGTTAAAACTCAGAAAAATGCTTGAGTAAAAAAGTGTTATACCAATTCAACTGATTTTAAAAACATGCAAATGCAATATGTTATCATGTTAAAAATATTCGAACACTTGTATATCAATTAAAGGAGTGAAAATTGATATACCGAAGCTTGAGTCCAAATCTTGAAACTTGAATGAACATTTGCACATGATTCTTGAATTGCTTGATAAAATTCTGAAGCTTGAGTCCAAGTCTTGATCTTGATCAATTTTGAAAGGCTTTGACTTTTTGCTTGCAATCATGGAATGAGCTTGAGTCTTTGTTGACATCATCAAAACCTTGAGATTGAGATGTGCTTCTACATTCTCCCCCTTTTTGATGATGACAACCAAGTGCGTCTTGCGATATCTTTTGACGATGTTCGTTCTTGGCTTACTACTTGTTTCCCCCCCTATGTCCAACAACTCCCCCTATCTAAACAGAGGCAAAAAAATTCTGCACAGAGAGATTAACACGCCACAACTAAATTTTTAAAAAATTCAAATTTCCCTCCCTCTTCAAAACAACACTCATCGTTGCAGATTTTAATATATTATTTAAATATTGTAGTGACGTGGTTTACACGTCGCAACTTATTTTTTCCCCACGTGTTTACCACGTCACTAAATCACTAGACAAAATCCAAATTTTCTTGTAGTGTTTGTCGTCGACATTCCTGTTCTCGGTCCTAAAGCACCACCTTCGGTGATAGAGAGTTAGGGTTTAATATTTATGTATGTTTTGTTTATTATTTTTCATATGCATTTGACTTCACTAATGTTGAGTTAGGATTTAGAGTTTGTGTGTTTTATTTTTTTATTTTACTTTTGAATTTACCTCTAGTGATAATGATTTAGGATTTAGGATTCTATTGAGATATTTATTTTGGAAATGATAAATTTTTATTCAATAAGTTGAATTTTGAGAAATTTAGCATAATATATATTTTGTAGTATACAAAGCTAATAAAAGGACGAAATTCATTTGCAGATAGCTGATAGGGATCTTCTTATTGTTGCTTCACATGGGTAAATAGTAAACTTCTTGCCGATTATCAAAATTTTATCTTGATATACCTTAACTCCTAAGTTTCAAGTTTTTTAACATGACATGGTGGAGATTAAAATATATAAATAATTTGGTCTAAAAGTATGTGTCATCATCTTAAAAGAATTATGTGACATTCGTGTTCACGCTACTACAGGAAACACATATTAGAACAATTGGAAAATAGATACCATCACGCGGTTCAACCGTTGTATTGTAAGGTGTAATTGTATATATGATAATTTCCACCACAATCGTACAACCGTAATAATATCCATGTAGCACGCTACCTATCAAAATGGTCACTTTAACCAACCGTTGTGATATTATTTATGGCAATATATTTAATCACGGGTGTTCTAACCAACCGTGATTTAAAATAGACCTGAGTTTATTAAAAATTATATAGAATGCTTATAATATGTTCACGTTATAATATGACAAGAATTAAGTTATATTAGAAGAATACGTTCACGTTCAATGTTTGACAAGAATTCTTCAAATATCCTTATCTGTATTTTGTTCTTTAACAGTAACAACTTGGTTTAATGATCCTAATTCTTCAACTGCCACAGTCTTCACCTCTAATTGTATTTGCAAAATATTATTTACTTTGCAAACAAAATTAGAGATGGAGAGAGGGGTGTTTGAAGATCTACAATCACTAAACCAAGTTCTAATGGGCAAAGAACAACATGCAGTTAACAGTGTGAAGAATAATTGTCAAGAATTGAATGTGTACTTAATATTCTAATACAATTTTATCTAAGATATCATAATTTTCTAATACGGTTTAGAAATTTATATATTCGCTAAGGGATTGGAAAAACACTCAAATCACATAATATATAATAAATTCATCTTTTAAATAAACATTAACAATAACATTCATCAAAAACATTGGTAAACAACAAAGCTGATACGACAAACATATCAAGTCACAAACTATTTCAGAAACATACCACACATGTCCCATAAGGGCATGTTGTCAATGAAATAAGGATGAAGATAAATTTAGACCAGCAAACTTGTGTAGAATTTGAATGGATGTCATTCTGGATCTTTGACACAAGTTTGTCTGACTAAATTTATCTTCATCATCTTTATTGAAAGAAGCATACATACCTACAAGTCAAAACAAGAAAGAAGTTCAAACATCATGAAACAAAGCTATTGAAACAGATATTTAAAAAAAAACTATAGAGAAAACGGACCTGTAAATATCTATTAGTTAAGATTTGTTGTTATAATTTTGTTTTGGGGTTTATATATGAGAGAGTTGTTAGGGTTTTGTTTTAAGAGAGGCGAGTGAAAGAGTTGTTAGGATTTTGTTTTGAGAGAGACGACTTTAATGTACTGAAGCAGTAGATAACTCCACTTATATATAAATAAAGTATTACCTTTTATCACGGTTGTTAATAAAAAACGTGATGATATACAAGATAAATAACATTTTTATTATGATAAATGGCTAATTGTAGGTGTTAGGATTCGAACGATTTCATCCCGTGTACCTTTTACCAAGGTTGCTTCATTTGACCGTAGTCACAAGTTCTCTAGTAAATACCAAAAAAAAGAAAATGCCTAGAAATAACGTATTATCACGGTTAACTCTATGACCGTTATAAAATCGGTGTTACGAAAAGTATATTTTGTATTAGTGTCAGATACTCATACTATTTATAAACCTTAGAATGTAGGCTTGGATATAAATGGAAAAACATGTTGATTTCATTCATGCTGAGCAGAGTACTGAATTAAATGCATTATATTCTGTTGGCACTCAAGTAGAGTGAGCACAAAAGATGCATGATTAGGTTAGTGATGGAAGATTTATGTGTTGCAAATTAAATAATGTATGGCTATTAAGTTTGAATTTGATGACTTTTTGTGTAACATGTTGTCATGTTCAGGTTCTTGTTGCTCTACCACAGGGATATTTAGTAGCAGTTTTCTGAAAGTTTAGTGTTAACATCGCCAATATTAAGCATATGCATTGCGATTGAATCATACAGTGGTGAGTATTTATCACTGTCATAAACTTAATTATTATATTGACCATTTGCATTGCGATTGAAGCATACAACGGTGAGTCTTTATCACTGTCATAATTCATGACCTGTCTTGTTATAGAACGATTGATAAGTGAGTTACTTGATAATGGTAATTTTGTCCAGTGATCATAATTCATGACCTTTTTTAAGAAGAATTAACACTATATTACTGCATGATCAAAACCTTCTACATGTTTCTCTAACTTGATGCTGCATATGGTTGTTGAATGAGTTCATCTACAATATTTTTCGTCAATGATTATCACATAAAATTAGATTCTGGGTATGATTTTATAACTTCGTATGTGTTTTTTATTTTTATTTTATATGTTGCTTATTGTTTTGGTTTTATTTCAAAACTTTGATTCCTGTGTGCGTTGGGTGAATTTCATACCGTGCAAATACCGCTGTACAGATAAAAATTAATACGTCATTCAAATAATTTAGGAATGATATATCTATGATGAGATGAGTTGAACAGATCAATAAACATAATACGAACTAATTAATCACTCAATGGTAAGATTGGTTTTTGAAATTTGTACTCATGGGAAGCATAATCAAATTAAGTATTAGGTATAAAAGAAATGTTGCAATCTTATGTACACCTGAATCTATGAAAATTTTCATCTAAAGTTATTGAAGATATCTTTGAAGAAAAGAAAATATTTTGGAGATACAAAGAGTTGGAAATGGAACGTTGAAATTATGAATATTGTTTAAATAAAGTAGAAAATATGAAGTGAAACAATCAGAGAAGCTCAAACGTCTCCTTAAAAATCTAAAAGATGTGTTACATTTTTTAGCATGGATGATTATTGTTATTCTAGTGATAAAATTTTAATGGGCGCCACCATTGTTACTCTAGTCCTAACTTATATGTAACTGTTACAAACTCAAACGGATCATTATTTTGGGATCTATCTCACAAAATAGTGTTGTTATTGTTGTGGTAGTATTTATAAGCTTATTAAAGTTTTCTATGATGGATTGCAAGTGCACAAAAATATTTTTTCAATAGTTGAAAGATATAATTTCTTTAGAAGTTGGATACATTTAATGGTTGGACCAGAAAACTCCTCAAAACTAAATGCGTGCAATATTTGGAACAGATAACTTCTTACACCAAAATTTTTATTTTGCTGCATTTTTCTTTTTCAATATTGTGTAAACAATGTAATTTAAAAAAAATCATGTTTACTTCGGTATAAATCGAGGGGACAACTTAGTGTGATAATTTTAGATATTGATCATCGTCCTTAAACAAATCATTTTTGTCCATTTCATGATTATCAACACTCAAGACATTACCATTAGTGATCCGCGTGAAATTTAAAAAATTTCCATTATAAAGGTATTATGATATCTATAATTGATAAAGAAACGTCATGAAGCCCTTAAAACTATCTGCATCTTCCACTTTAACTTTTGTCATTAGGAGTTCTCAACGATGGATTACAAGTGCAGAAAATTATCTGGGTTTAAAGTATGTGTTTTTAAAGACGTCGAAGATCTAATAAATGATCTTCAGGGATAAATTAATTTTTACTTTCATATTCTGTGTAAAATATGTAATACTCTAGGTAAGTATTATAGTTTGTAAACAAATTATTTTTATTTATTTTATGTGTAAACAATGTAAATAATTTCAATTAGAAAAATCCGTCTTACCCCTCAGTTTTATTGTAAACCTAGATTTATGAATAATAAAAATGCTAATGATGAGGTTCGAACCCATGTGCAAATTAATTTACCCCTCGATGTTTAAAAAACCGAGGTGATAAGTTGTTACTTTTCATGACGCCTTTCGTTACCTCGCTACTGCAACTGAGGTAAAATGCATTTCGTGTCCGACGTTAAAATCACTTTTTTAGTAGTGCTTTAGTAATGAAGCCTTCAGGCGTCATGCCCAATTGAATCCAAGAAGTTATCTCAGTCTTTATCTGACTCGGAGTCACTTAATTTGATTAACTCTTCAAAAGCAACTTCTATATCTTTCTTGTCTTCTCAGAATTCAAATTGGTGATCATTATCTTCTTAGTTTTAGTTGTCCCACTACAAGATTCAACAACGGTGATGTTATTCCTAACATCTCTTACTTCTTTTGTCTTATTTAACCAAGATTCAATCATATAAACATCCTTAGGAACCTTAATTTCTTTGATAGGTATACTCTCACTAGATTGGTTAGATAAATCTTCATATTATTGATACATGTTAAGAGGAAGAAGCTTATGTGTGTGTGTGTGTGTGTGTGAAACTTATCACCAGAGCTGTTAACAAAATCCGTAATAAAATATAAGAAAATTTTATTAGACTATAAGGACAAACCCATTTTGTAATGAAAAATATAAAAAAAATATTGGTGTTGAGAATCGAAGCAAATACCATTTTATCTATCACAATGGTTGTTATTAAGGATCGTGATAAAATATATTTTAATAAAATAATAAGAAATTCAGTCAAATGAAAATGAGATATTTCTACAATTTTTAAACAACCGTTATAAAATGGTGTTACCAAAAATATATTTTATAGTAGTTAGTACTAAAAATAAAACTAAATTAAAAATTAAAAAGTTAAACCAAAACATTGTCTCAAAACTCAATTACACAATCCTTTTTATTTATCGAATTCTTACATGTTGCAACAACATCCCTTGCTTTCTGTCGGCACTTCAACATGGAATCCCAAATAAACAAACACATTAGTATTAAAATAAACTTCAAAATAAGAAATTCAAGAAACAATTTCTAGCTAGTCAAGTTAAATTTCAAAACATCACCATCCAACTTCTTATCAACAAAGTTCTCATTTCTCACTAAGTCCCGTGTTATAAAAAGACATAAATAAAAATAAAAAAATCAAAAACACATTATCACTCTAAAATCCATTGAAAAAAATATATTTTTTCTTTTACAATGTAACTAAAATATATATATTCTTCGATGGGTTTTAGAGTGATGATATATTTTTTTATAAGCAGAATCTATTAATAAGAGATTAAGAAAATCTCAAACCAAAAGACAAATTACAAAAACGTCAAAAGGAAATTTGAACCAATCATACAAACAACACTGCTTGCTCCCCTTCCTACCTAGGATCAACCAATTCCAAGAAGAAAGTTTAATGTCGAAAACAATACTGTCGACCTCAGTAACTACATTATTGAAAATACATTCATTTCTAGACCTCCAAATACTCCAACAAGTAATAAACCAAATCGAATTTACTCTATTCGCTTGACACCGACCTCTAAGGCTCGAGTTCCACACCTTCGCGTGAGAATAGCAGCAATTTTCAGAAATTATCTCTATATCCGCATATTCGCAAATCTTGTTCCAAACCTGAGTTGATTTAATGCACGAGAAGAAGAGGTGGGATACGTCCTCGAGGCTACTAGAACAAAACACGCAATCCAAGTCTTGCTCGGAATCAAACATCCTTTTTTTTCAATAAATTAGATCTAGTTGGCAATCTATCAAGCGCCAATCTCCAACTAAGAGTTTGCACTTTTGCCGGGATATTCGTCTTCTAGAGAGACTCAAGATGGGATGCACATTCGGAACCAATATCTTGTTCAAATAAGGAGGAATATAGAACTGAATGAAAAGAACTAACCTTAAAAGACAAAGAATCATGAAGAAGCCACCACCATTTGTCGGACTCGCCGAGGAGAACCGAGACATTTTCCAGCAATTTACAGCACTCAGACCAGTCTGGTTCAGGAGGGATATTTGATTCGATCAAAGAATCTCTCATTTTCCAATTTCACTGCCCTTCCTCCCAGTATTCCATTTCACGGACGAACACTGTCTTCATAGAACAACACTGAAATAAGCCGTTAAATCTGACTTTAAACGGCATGTCACCAATCCAAACTGACTGCCAGAATGCCACATCGTTTCCTTCACCAACGGAACAGGCAGTGAATTTGCAGAAGTTGGCATGTGAATTTAGGGAAGCATTAGTCATAATATCCTTCATCCATAGCGAATCAGTTTTCGAACTATCAACGTCGAGGTAAGTTTACGTCTTGATACTGAGGTTGTCGTATCTGTTAGTGAGGGTCTTCCTCCATATTTCATTACCACCAGTTTGGAACCTCCAAAGCCATTTTGCCAACAAAGCACTGTTGAACCGACCCACATGCTTAATACCCAGACCGCCATCTTCCTTAGATTTACAGACAGAATTCCAAGAAACCCAAGGAATAAAAGTTTTGCTCGAGTTTCCAGCCCATAAGAACCAACGTTGGATCGCTATAATATCCTTCACGGCTTTATGGGGAGCCTTGAAGAAAGCCAGATAATGGATAGGCAGATTAGCTAGAACCGAATTAATGAGGGTGACTCTGCCCCCCATAGACAAATTTCTCCCATTCCAGTTGGATAATTTATTCCTCAAACACATCAGAACCGGCTTCTAGAAAGAGTATCGGCGATGGTTGCCGCCAACAGTGATACCAAGGAAACTAAGCGGCATTTTTCCGGATTTACAGTGAAGAAAGTCTTCAGCAGCCACAAGAAAGTCAGGTTCTACATGAATCCCATACAAATAGCTTTTGGAGTAATTAGTTTTGAGACCTGAAGTTAACTCGAAAGCACGAAGAATAGCCTTGAATGCCCAAATATTAGACGCCGAACCGTCACCAATGAGCAGAGTATCATCAGCAAATTGAAGAATACTCACAGTTGGTTGACCATCAATTTTGAATTGGGATAGCATATTACCAGCAACCGCTGATTTCACCAAGCTCGACAGCCCCTCTGCAGCTATAACAAACAGGAACAGAGCAAGAGGGTCACCCTGCTTCAGCCCCTACCAGCCCTAAAGTCCTTCGAGGGACTACCATTGATGAGAATGGAAATATAACTATTGAAAACAGAACCACGGATCCATTTCATCCACTTAGTTCTGAACCCCATCTTTACAAGCAGAGCATCTAGATAGAGCCAATCCACACAATCATAGGCTTTAGCAAAATCTACTTTGAAGAAAAAGCAGTCCTTATTGAATCTCTTAGCAAAATCAGCCAACTCGTTAGCCAACAGAACACCGTCGTAGATCTGCCGCTCCAGAATGAAAGCAGTTTAAGAGGGAGAAATAATTTTATGAATAACCTTCCTGAGTCTGCACGCGAGCATCTTTGACATTACCTTCAGAACACAGCTGACAAGGCTTATAGGCCTATAATCTTCGAATCGTTGGGGATTTTTAGACTTTGGGACAAGCGAGATGAAGGAAGAAGCGAAGGTCTTCGGGAGGTAACCAGTATTGAAGAATTCTAGAATGAAATTCGAGAAATCCTTGCCCACTATCTCCCATCATGACTTAATGAATTTATAGTTGAAACCATAAGCACCGGGGCATTTATTACCGTCGCAGCTAAAAACAACAGCTTTGACATCTGCAGGACAGAAATCAGCTTCCAGCTATATCTTATCTTCCTCATCGAAGCAAACAATATGATCGAAGTCGATTGAAAACTTGGGCGATGATTTGGTCTTGTATCTCTCCTTAAAGTACTTCACAGCTTCGCATTTAATGGCTTCAGGGTCTTCCTCAATACCATCTCCCACTCTGATAGCGGATAAACAGTTCGAACGATATCTAGATTTTAAGGAATCATGGAAAAACTTTGAATTCTGATCCCCATCTTGAAGCCAATTTAAACGGGATTTTTGAGCCAACATGCTTCCTTTTAACCTGAGATTCTTCCACATCTCCTCCTGATTTCTCAACCTTTCCTTGTTCAAATCTTCATCGTGGGAAGTAGAATCCAAATCGCTGTCCAGCTCTAGCGTATTGAGGTTAAAAACATACTCTTCTATCTTTAAGTCTAGCCAGCCGAAAACATTACAATTGCAACTCCTAATGCCACTTTTCAAAGCAGAAAACTTCTTAATCAGAATGTTGCAGTAAGAACCTGAAACATGGTAAGAATTTCACGACTGCTTAACAAACGGGATGAAGTCCTTATGAGAGAACCAACAGTTGAAGGACCTAAATGGTTTTGGCCCCCAATTCACAAAGTTAGACTTCAACCACACAGGCCTATGGTCTGAAACGTCTCTATTGCCCACCAATTGATTAATCAGAGAGAGCATGGAAATTGCAAGATCATCCACCAAAAATCTGTCTAATCTACTTCTACACATGCCATTGGAATTGAACCACGTAAACTTATTACCAAACACCAGAAGATCTGTCAACTTCATCTCAACAATAAACTTGTTGAAAACCTTCATGTCCCTGAGAGTATTAGCACTTATACCTTTTCTTTCCTCCCCGATCTTAACCTCGTTAAAATCTCCCCCCACGGTCCAGCCAACACCTGATATTTTACTGTTAATTTTAGCGAGATCCCTCCACAAATTCCTTCTGTCAGCGGAACCTCAAGGAGCATAAATGTTAACCACAATCAGGTTTTGATTTATCCACAGGAATTGAATGCCCAAGAACCCAACACCACAAAAACTAGATATAGCTGAAATTTTCGACCTATTCCACAATGTAATAATACCTCAAGATCTGCCAAAAGAATTAAGGGTTGACCAATCCATATAAGTGTTTCTCCAAATTCTATGTGCTATACCGTCCTCCATATGCGTACTTTTTGATTCCTGAATAAGGTAAATATCAGCGTTGCCTCTCTGCAGAGTTTGAGAAATTCTCCTTCTCTTTAACAAACTGCAACATCCTCGAACATTATAGGAAACAATATTCATAATCCACTGGCAGCTATAACCTTCTTGCCTAATCTAACAGCCTTGTCCTCCCTATCCATTTTCCTTAGAGTATTTCCAAGCCTATTGTCTTCGTCACCCTGCATCCCTAAATCTATCAGGTAATTCCTCAGTTGGAATGGTACTTCTTCAATGGCCCTTTTACATCGCAGATTTCCTTTTTCCACATCTGTATCAGTTATAGATTCACCACACAGGAGTTCAGAGCAAGACTCAAGGGGTTTACTAATTAGCAGGTTCTTCTTCCTTCCCTCCCTAGCAGACACCCCCATTGAAGATCCTGCGTAACCTTTTGAAGCTATGAGCAGGAGAGTAGAGAAATAAGACGGGGTGTATGGAATCTTGATGCAATTGTAAATCTCATGGAGCATCTTTTTCTTTTTAAATTTTCCTACTAATGCAGGCCCAAGAGTTCCATCTGGAGGCCCAATAAGAGGAAGAGGCAGCCCCAGATCCATAACTAGATCCCCTTTTAGGTTTAAGTTATTATTTGCCACATGGATCTGGTTCTGTTCAAGTTCAACCGAAACATTAGCATGATTGTGACCATCTAAAATGAAAAATTCGGCAGAGTTCCCAACAATACTCCCTCTAATACCACCACCTGCATCACTCAAACTAATGTTGTTACCAACTACAGACACAATATCTGATGCAGAATGGATGTAGTCTGAACCTAGGAATTCAGCAGCTGGTACTTTCTCATCAGGTTCATTGATCGATGGACTAGAATCCCCATTCTCGACCACATCAGACTCCTCCCACGCGCCATCAAACTCTGAGGGGCCTGAAGATTCAAACTCATCTGAGTCTATCAACTCGTCTACTTCACCATCCAGCGAAAAATGATGGCCACCTAAAACTTCTTTAGTGACAGAAATATGGTAAGCAACGTCAAACACTTTAACAACAATCTTCTTATTTTGAATAACCCCTAATTTCGTCTTAATCAGAAATCTCGCAGCATCCTAGCACTCTCTATTACTAGTCTTCTCATCGCATCTGATAAATGTACCCAAGCTAACTGATATCAAACAAAAATTGTTATCCCTCCAGGCAACGCTAGGAATACTGTAACACCCATTTTAATTATTTTTGGTTTCAGAGTTATTTTATTCGTGGATGTGTTTTGAGAAATTATTTGGAGGATCAAGAACTCATGATATTGGTATACGGTAATAAAAATGCGATAGTTGATAGTAATGTAATATCATTATTAATTATTATCATTATTATTACTAATATTAATATATGAGAAAAATATAATTAAATGGAATTTTGGAATTAAGTGGATTTTGTGAATTAAAAGAAATAAGAAGATTATTATTATTATTATTATTTGGATTTTTGGATTAAAAGAATTATGAGAATATGATTTATTGGGATTAAAAGAAATTTATTTGGGATGAGGGGTAACTTTGGCATTGTTGAGAAAACTAGAGAAAAGAACACGCACGGTGGAATCAAGTTGGAGGAACGATCAAAGTGAGCGATCAAGGGAAAGTAGGAGTGCCTCAAAGCCGCGAATTTGTGAAGCTCCTTCATCATCAGCAATGAATTCGAGGTAAGGGGGGGGGGGATTTAACGGTTAATTGGTATTTACATGAATGATGGTAGAAGGGGAATCCCTAACCCCATGTATGAATATATTGCATGTTGATGATGATTGTTGCACCCCAAAATTTGACCAACAT